ACATTTCATATATGAATCAGGTGAATAGCCTATTTCAACGTCAGAACAAATTTCACCGAAAGACAAAGAGTGCGTTTACATGCACCCTCATGATGCGATTATAATGGAATTTTGGCAATATTACAATCAAACTTTACCTCATGTAAATGCAATACTTTGATCAAATTAATGCAATTAAGATCATAAATCATAGTAACTATATTCGCATTACACTATGTGGCGTACACTGATTTTAATCGGAATAAACAGGCATGTTTAAAAATTTGGAGTGTTTCCAGATCAGATGAAAATTGCAAAAATTATACCAATTTACAAGAGTGGTGATAGTCATTTATACTCAAACTATAGACCAATTTCATTATTATCCCAATTTTCAAAAATACTGGAAAAACTTTTTTTGAAGAGGCTTGATAGTTTCATAGAAAAATTCATGATATTAAGTGACGATCAATATGGATTCAGGAGTGGTAGATCGACTTCAATGGCAGTTATTAAATTAGTTGATTATATAGCATCTGCATTAGACAAAAAGTATTCTACTTTGGGTGTTTTTGTCGACCTCGATACCATAGATCATAAATTGTTAATGAATAAACTAGAGCAGTATGGTTTTAGAGGCCGTGCTTACTCTTGGTTAGAAAGCTATCTTGACAATAGACACCAGTATGTTAATTTTAATGAGCATCAATCAGAAATGCGTAAAGTAACTTGTGGGGTGCCCCAGGGTTCTTTGCTTGGTCCTAAGTTGTTTATTTTATATATTAATGACATCTGTAAGGTATCCAATTTGTTAAAATGTGTATTATTTGCAGATGACACAACACTGTATGTATCTGGGGAAAATCTTCACCAATTAATTTCTGATGTGACTACAGAACTATCCAGAATTAAGCAATGGTTTGACCGAAATAAACTCTTTTAATTTAAGTTAAACCAAAAATATATTATATTTAGTAATCGACAAATTAAAACCAGCATGAGCTTAAAGATTGATGATGTGGAACTAGAAAGGGTAAATGAAAACAAATTTCTTGGAATAATATTAGACCATAAACTATCCTGGAAACCTCACATCGCTCATGTTCAATCAAAACTGTCTACTCTAAAACAATAGCTATATTACATAAAACCAAGTACTTTTTAAATACGCCGCTTTGTATATTCTGTATTGTTCTCTTATTGTTCCATATTTTTTTTACTGTGTTGAAATATGGGGGCATGCCTACACTACAAACACAAAACCCATTTTTATTTTACAAAAAAAAAGCTATAAGGATAGTCAATCATTCCCCGTATAATGAACCGACAAATTCTATATTCTGTAAATTTAAAGCAATAAAATTTTCTGATTTAGTCAGTCTGAATACTGCCGTTTTTATGTACAAAGTTAATAGGAAAATAGTGCCTGAAAATATACTATGTTTGTTTGAAAACAGGGAACAGAAATATAACTTAAGAGGAGAGAACATGTTTAAAAAACAGATGGTCAGAACAAACTTTAAAATGAACACCATCTCGGTAAAAGGGGTCGACTTGTGGAATGGTCTCACTGATGATCTTAGGAGGAGTAATTCCATTCATTACTTTAAAAAAAACAGTTTAAAATCTTAATTTTTGACAAATATTCGGATGCTTAAGAATAATTGTCCAAGATAAGTTTATGCATAATTGTTGTGTTTAGATTTCAATAATATAAGTAATAAATAAATATTTGTAATCAAGTGCAGAGGTTTGTATGTATGTATATATGTATGTATATGAGTATGCAGTATGTGTATATAGGAATGTATGTATGTATGCATATGTTTATACATGTATATTGTTTATGTTCAAATTTTGATGGGTAGATGTTGATGTTGATGTAAATGATGTAAATAGGGTAGGCGTAATAAGCCATGGCTTCAGCCTACACCTGTTCGGTTACCTTCTTTGTTTGTAATGAATTTGTTGTATATATATTCTGTTTTATGTTTAGTAACCGAATAAACCTTTATTATTATGTAAACACCTTAATTTCATTATTACCGCTCTGACCAAAGTTTGCATGTGCTCGGTTCTACACGGATGCAGTGTGTGACTCACACAACTTCATAAAATTAACTCTGTGACAGTATTCTGAAGGTTTCTCTAGTTCTCCAAATCGCTAAACTCTGACAGTAGCGTAGGAAAACATTGAGATGCTCATCACGGCACCGAATAATATCCAGTATGTCCATAAAAATTTATTTTTAATTTGATGTGAATAGATTAAAACAATGGCCGCTAACATGCCTACTGTATGACTATCTGAGTGTGATATTCCCATACTTATAGCGAATAATCAGAATAATGAAAATTGCATGTAAACTGGATTGAAGAGTTCTGCTTGTGTCATGTAAACATTTTAAGACCTTACTCTGATTATTAGAAATAATCGCATTATTGGTGCACATGTAAACGTAGTCAATGAGTTTTCATGTATGACCTCACAATAAGGAAGAAAAGTCGGTCGCAATTTCCGTTTCATGACGACTTTAAAGATGTAGTAACAGTGAAAGCACACGCTGCACTAGAAAGCGAAGAAGTGATTGGATTTGTGTTCCTCATAAGTGAAAAAATGTGATGAAACAAGTGTTTGTGTGTGTAAGAAAGCTCTAAACACAGAGCTAGCTGTGGAAATGATGGGCATGAGAGCTGTGCAATAAATCATGATATATTATGATGCAAAAGCAGGTTCCTAGATTTAGGACGCCATTTTCCTAAGTTGAAAATGATTTAAGAAAAATAACAAATTAAATGTAAAGGTACACTATGTAACTTTTTTTCATTCAAAATTTAAATTATTAAATAATTGTCAATAATTAAATAAGTCAATACAACATTAATCCTTCTTCCAAAACGTGATTTTGTCTTACCCTGATTCATTACGGTAGGCCTGTTATAAATGTTTATTTTAGACCTGTCGGGATAGTTTTCGTGGGAAATTGCGTACATATGTCACTCGCCCCTGCGTGTCTCGTAATATCTGTAAATAGAGAGAGCAGTTGTCCGTCTACTTTGACGCGTTATGGTGTGTGAGTGGCTGAGGTTAGTTGTCACAATGAGCGAGAAAGGATGACATGAAGCTGCTAAATCTCCAACCTCCAGGGAATCAGCCATTTAAAAAAAAATGCAGAACAGAAAAGAGTCTGGCGAAAAAGAGAAAGCGGCAGAGCTCATAATAACACAAGGATCAACATAGGCTCAGCTTTTCGGAGAATTTGAATGATTGTAAAAGCAATGCAGAGATGATGGTGTTTTTAATACTCAACAGGTGAGTAAGGTGTTTTATTGAACAGATAAATTGCCATATGTAGCTCTCTAACAGAGTTCAAAGCATTTTCTATTGTGAAGACTCATATTCATCCGTACTATTAAAGGTGCTCTATGTAACCTTTCTACTAAAATGAATCCTTTTTTTTATTGCCCGTGTGTGAAGGGGTTGTAATCACACATTAAAATGATCCACTTGTCGAGTTTTGCTATTACCTCTGAAGGCCAGTATTCCTATTTCTATGTGAAGTCTCCGGGTTGGATTTACCGCGAAATCCAACGGATGTGACGTGCATGCGCGCTCCCGAGCCTCTCTCCTTATTGTAGACGGTCAGGGAGTTACGTCCGGTTAAAGGCGCACGTTTTTCGGCTTATATCTCAGTCAATCTTTGATCAATATTCCCAAGACTCTAATCGTTCGTAGTGCTGGACGGGGCCTTTCGAACGAGCCCACCCCCGAGGTCCAACTCGCCCGGCTCCCCGAGTTATAGCCGTTCGAATTCGGGGGTCCCAGCGAACGGCGATCCGGTAGGGGGCATCCCCGAGGCCCACCACTCTAGCGTTCGGGCAAGGGTTCCCCTGGGACCTCCTCCCCCGAATTTGAGCTCTCTGGGTCTTTGCGTTCCAGAGATACGAGCGATTTTCTTCTGAGATCGTGACGTCACCGGCGTCCGCAATTTTGCAGCGCGCCCGGTGGTTTTCTGCTAATATCTCCGCGAAAACACCACCAAAAACTATGGAACTTATATGGTTCTTTTCAGCTCAACTAGATGGTCCCAACGAGCTCGGTGCTCGCCGAATCCGTCAAGTATTCGCCGAGATATTTGCGTAATAGACGGTATTGTCTATGAGTTCGAGCACGAGCGCTCTTGTAAAATTTGGTTGCAATCTGAAACATCACCACTAGAGGCCGCTGAAAGTTACGTAGAGCACCTTTAAAACAATATTCTCCTGCAAAATGCATGCAGTTTTGTTTTTTATCCACTGGAGGACCAAAACCTTTAACAAAAAAATCAATGTCAATAATTCGACATTGGTTAATTGTCGAATAATTCTAGCATAACATATAATTCTAGCATAACAACTTAGAAAAAGTGATGTGTGGTATTTGGTACTAAAAATATGATATGATGCAGTATCACAATTACAATATCGAACCCTGAAACAGAAATACTAAGGCTGTCCTTAATAGTCTGAGCACTTCACATCAAAAGGGAACACCCAACAAATTGAGCTGCTCTTACAGCAGTCTTTTTCGAAGAATGCCAGAAGGAAGAGAAGAAATCATCCCTCTAGCTTTTATTGCACAAGATGCTGTCAAGTGACTTGTGCAACTGAAACAGATCCACCCTGAGCTGAATCAAACACACATGTGTGTGTCACACATCACATCCCACTGCTGCACAGGATGTTTGGGCTCAGAACACACTTCTTTAAAGATGTGATATTTATGTGAAGCATGTTGTGCCCTTCATGAGGAAGTGAGCTTCACCCAGAGAGTGTGTCAAAGACCAAAACCACACTTGTAGGTTTCATTAGCAAAACTCTCACACAAACTATTTATGTAACTAGTGCTGCTTGTGGTCAGACAGCTTAAAGAACAAAACGCTGATCTGTTGCACTCTTACAGACAACTATTACAAATATGTGAGTTTGAATTCCAAAAATAAAGAACAATCAAAGCAATGAAAAGAGACACCAGCCCAAACCTTGTAAACCTGTCCATACGTCCCATTCCCGACCACCTCGATGAGCTCAAATATCCCTGCAGGATCCTGGAATGAAAATGACATGGATTGACTGATCAGATTCACTAGGTTTGGGACAATAATTTACTCGATTTGAATAGTTATGATGTCCACACTGTTATCTGAGTTGGCAGTTCGCCCTGATTTTGAGACACGGTCCATGTTTTCACTCTACTTAACCACAATTCCCATATCATGTACGATTGACAATGACAAGTGAAGAAAAGTACACGAATATTTCCCTAAGACAGCTAAGTTTAACGGCCACTCTCAACTTGAAATGGCATTTACAGCAAAGTCAACACAACTTATCGCTACTAAAAGTGTAAGCGCCGAGAGAAACTTTGTGCCAAGCCTCGACCAATCGCTGCTGTTGAAAAGATGCAAAACTGCTGAAATAAGAACATAAGTACAGTATTGCTGTAAGTTACTTACCCGTAACGAGGCCAGGTCAATGTTGCTCAGACTTGTTGTAGTGAAGTCTCTCGCCATTTTTATGAGCTCGTCTATCAATAACAGTTTCTTAACTGATCATGGTTTGAGGAACAGTATGTCTGCCCATCTTCAGCGTGTTTAATCCTACTATAGCGAAGGCTTGGCTCATGAATATTAATAACATAACGGAACTGTCGCCCAGCAGTTGGAACTGACTCGCTAATGTTGGGAAGTGGGCGTTCACAACAGTCGCATTAACCAATAAATCACAGTCCAACTTAGCCGCTTAAATATTAACAAGCTCATGTTCCCAGATACTCCGGAAATTTACAAAGAAACGTCAATATTATCTCATTAATATTCATCTGCTAGTCCTTTACTTTAGTAGGACTTGTGATTTCTCAGGACAAACACAGGAAACACGGAAAACGAGTAAAAAGTGAAAAGCTGCCCCTTCCTCTGCTTAAAACAAAACAAAGCTTGATCTCTATATACAAGCTTGCTTTTGCTTTAAAACTGGCTAACTTTTTTTTTTTTTTTAAAGCTATTCATTAAAAATGCACATTTTAAACATTATATCACCTTTATGAGTTTAACTTTCAACATATTACACACACACAAAAAATAGAATTAAACAGGCATCTCTCAGATTTAATTTCTCATACATTTATTTATTTATTTTGTTGGTTCATAACAATAATTTTTTTGCAAGGTATATTACAAATAGGGCCTAATTTATATGCTAATTCAAAACCAAAAACCTGTGAATCAGACAAACTGCTGGGTTTGTGAATATTTTTATATAACAGCTGGGATATTTGTACTCTTCCACATATCACTGTATCTGAAGAGTAAAATGGCATACTAGTTGTGAGTATACAAAATGAAATCAATGATTTTAGTTACCTTCAATTTCTTTAAACTAGAGCAAGAGGGCAAAATTGTATACAAATTCAATAAAATGATAATGATAAAAACTGTTAGATCAATAACAGCACTGAAATGCTTAATCAATAGTACCAGATAAACCATAAAAACAAGATGTATCTACCTATAATGTATGAAAAACATAATCAAAACAGAACTCTGATGAAGGAAAACCAAACGATCAGGAAATAAGGCAAATGATAAGCTGTATCAAATATTTAAATACCTCCCCTCCTTACTAGCTACAAACTATTTTAATGTGCTTATTAGATTTGAATAGTATTTATTTGCATAAATAGAACATTATATTCTTTAAAGCTCAGAGATGATGTGTTTTTACATTATTGTGCTATAACAACCAAAGTCATAAGGTCAAATAAAACCTTTAATGTTGGTTCACTTGAAGATGCAGATGCAGTGTTTCATGAAATAACTGTACATGGAATAATAACCTTCAGATTCAAGTAGGAAAGCAATTTCAGTAGCTCTTCATCTGTCTGAAAAGTATGAAAACACTAAAGGTTGGAAGAAAGCGAGATAAACTTTTTTTTTCTTTCTTTTTCTCTCTAATCTTAACTAGATGAAATCATGCAGATAAAAAGGAAGAAAAGATGATATAGACAAAGCTATGTTTGGCGATTGCTGCGAGGTGCTCTACCAGATATCACTGGAAAGTTCTTGTCCAGACAGCTGTGCGAATGGGCTGTTCAAGTGAATATCTTTCTTGGCTTTCTCAATGTTATTTTGTGTGAGACGTCCGTTCAGCAGCGTCATGGGCAAACTGCAGTACATGTGACGGCCGCTGAGCGTGGCTATAGCAGTGGTGGGCAGCTCGTATTCATAGTTGCGGCAGAAATGGCGCATTTGCAGGTGGCCAGGCTCATTATAGTCTGGTATTTCAACATGAGCCGGCACTAGTGACGCCGAGGTCCCGGTCATAGCAACTGTAGATACGGCCTGCAGGTCGCCAAAGAGCCCTTGCTCGCCCGAGTCTATGACTTGTCGGCGGGACACGGTCTCTTTTTTCTTAGCTGGCATTTCGTACCGGACCTGCTTCCAGAACTTGGATTTCAGCTGGTTGCTTTTGGGACCGTTCCACTTAATGAGCGTCAGCACTCGGATGGTGTGTTTGAGGTCTTCTACTTCCTGGTAGTTGATGACGCTACGCAGGTCCGAGCATTCGATCATTATCACCTTGATCTCGCCCGTCACCAGCATGCTGTGCAGCCGTGGCTCGAACTGGAAGATGCTCCAACCACGACGGGCCACAAACTCGGGGGTCAGGATGATAATAAGACGCCTGCTCTGCTCCACGCTCCGGGCCAGATCATCAATGTATGCTGGAGACAGAGAAAGACGGGAAATGAGTATGGATGTCATGCACCAACAAGAAGAGATTCAAATAAATTGGGTGATTCAGAAAGAGCAACAAGCATCATCTGCTTTTAGAGCTTGTAAAGCAATGACGTGATCTGCAATGAGAACTACATTTAGGGTGTATTTAGGTTTGTCCCGTTCCATTTGTACCACGGACGTGACAGACATGAGTGATGTTGCATCAAATACCTCCAATTACCAAAAAGAAATCTAAAGTCAAATTTCGTAGAAAAGTTCTACTAGATCTGAAAGACAATTTCTGTATGATGGACAAAGAAACAGGCAAAACAAGATCGTAGACCAGATTTACTAAACAGGGCAAATTAACGTGAGAGCGCGATCCCATAAAAGAGCAGATGGGAGAGAAAAGTTCTGTGCGTGATCTACTGACGACGTGCAAATGAATGAACACAGACGCAGCTGGGTTATTTCCATAATGACCAACATAATCTATCAAGAGCAGCGCAAATCAGTGGCCAGTTTAAGACATGCTTTTTTGACTGCACGGTAAAGGGGGTGGTCTCACTGTCATCTATCGAGATAATCTACGACTCACATAACTTGATTTTCACGACACCAATACATTTGAATATATGGTACTGAAGGCTGACTTTCTTATAATTATCTTGCTCTATCGTCCTCCTAAGGCCTTGTCCAACTTTTTTCTGAACTCTGAACTCTTGACGCTTGCCTGTTCCTTGTCATTTCCTGTTCTCCTGCTCATTGAGCTTATTCAAGTTGATGCTGTTTGCTCTAACACTAATTAATTACTGTCAGTTTTTGATTGTTTTAATTTGACTCAGCATGTTAATTATTCTACTCCTACACATATTCTTGATTTGATCTATACATCAGGGATTGATATCTCTTCCATCTCTTCTTCTGACACTGGTATTTCTGATCATAAATGAATTGGTTTTAGCCTGGCTTGCCTATAAGAAATGCCCTACGACTGTTATTTCCTATTGCAATCTCAAAGCTGTTGATATACTGCATCATTTTGTACCTCCATTGTTTCCTCTAATCTTTCTGATGTCTTTGATATATCCTCTCCCTCACTGATATTATCTAACTATCACTCCACCATTTCTGAAATCTTGCAGGAGCATTTTCTTGTTAAGACCAGAAGTGTCCCTTCCACCCACTCTTCTCCTTGGTAAACCCCTGAGCTTCGTATCCTAAAGGCGCCTGGTAGACGACTTGAGCATCTTTACAGGAAAACCTGCCTCACTGTTCACTATTTAACTTTTATTGAACATCTAACAAAATACTAATCCTCCCTGAACTCGGCTTGTTAGTTTTGTCACTCCCACGATAAACAAATCAATCAACAGGCCAAAAGCATTATTTAACACAATAAATAAGTTTACCAAACCTCCATCAACCTGGGTGTGCTCTTGGATACCAGTATTTCATTTGAAAAACACGTTTCTAGCATCTTTAAAACCGCATCTAAATTACGAAATATGCTTTCAATGACAAAAGCGGAACAGTTAGTTCATGCGTTCATGACATCAAGGCTAGATTATTGTAATGCTATAATGGGTGGTTGCCCTGCATGCTTAATTAACAAACTCCTGGACCAAAACGCAGCAGCTCGAGTTCTTACCAGAACCAAAAAGTATGACCATATTAGCCCGGTTCTGTCAACACTGCATTGGCTCCCTATTAAACATTGTATACATTTTAAAATATTGCTCAGTACTTGAGCGAGCTCTTAAAGCATTATGATCTATGAGCTATGATTATGATTTGTGAACTCAAATGGTTGAGGACATTAAATTTAACATTTAATTTAATATTCAAGAATAATATTGATTTGCCTGCATTTACACCATTATATGAGAACTGAACTGAGCTGGACGATGACATCACGGTTTTCTCCAGAGCGGCTATATATATAAATTATATAAATATATATATAAAAACTAAATTAATAATTTGTTTACAACTAAAATGAAACGCTATTTTGACACTATTTTCTTCTGGAAACAAACTTTGTTGCATTATGTAAAGCTGCTTTGAAACAATCTGTATTGTAAAAAGCCCTATATAAATAAATGTGACTTGACTTGACTTGTCTTACCCTGGAGCTGGTCTCTAAAACACACATTCCCAAATCTCAATAGTTTTTGATTGGATAAAATGAATGGAGAATATCTCGTGTTTTTCCGTGGGTGCTAGAGCCCCCGAACACCCACAGGATCGGCGCCTACGGTGGGCAGTAAGAAACCACCTACAGTAGCAACCATCCAGAACATCTGAGCAGCTGGGAGCAATGTACTAGAACACCGTACTTCAGAGAAATGGCCCAGCAATCACCCAGAACACTCTAGCAACTGCAGACGATCAATCATAACAGCGTAGCAACCACATAGCAATGCCCTAGCAATCCGAAAGAACACCTCAGCAACTGTATCGTTCTCTCTCTCTCTCTCTCTCTCTCTCTCTCTCACACACACACACACACACACACACACACACACACACACACACACACACACACACACACACACACACACACACACACACACACACACACACACACACACACACACACACACACACAGCTCAACGACCATATTACAATGAGAATGAGCACCTTAACAACCGTGCAGCAACCAGGGCAACAACCCACAAGACTTAAGAAATTAGGCATTTCTTCCACAAAAATAGAAAATGATTTAATCTATTTATTTATTTTAAAAAAAACACTAATAAGTCAAACAATGATTTGAAATCATCTATTCTGTGATGAGAATGTTCTGAACTACTGTATTAAAATGTTTTGAGCTATTTTTCATAAAATGATAAAAAAATGTCCAGATATCAGGGGAAAAGCCTTAAGAAAACCTTATTAAGTAGATTAGTAAGAAAATAGCTTCACTGCTTATTAAAAAATAAAATAAAAACATTCTTGTAGTACCACCTTCATTAAGAAACATGCTGAGGTAAAATCAATAAAAAAAAACAAAAAATAAATTAAAACACATGTATTACCATGCAAGGAACATACTCTGTGAAATTTTACTTTAAACACATGACTTTTTTTATTACGAAGAAACTTATTAAAACTTGAAATTAGCAGTTTTCATATGAAACCATTTAAGTGAATATATTGAATACATTACTAAAGGTGCATCACATTATCGGAATTTCAGAGACATTTTGCGCACAAAAACAGGTCCATTGTCAGTTGTGTAATGATGACTTTTCTGTTGGTCAGCGCAACGAATTCATCGTCTTAAACATGAACAAAATCTGCATGGGGATCTTTTTTTTTTTTACCCTTTGTTTGGGAATTTTGGAATGACTGGATTTCGAACCTCAAGAACTAGGCTTATTGGCCAGTGCTTCAACAGTAGATGGCACATGAGCTCTGTGTGCTACATTGCTGTTTCCGTTTCTTTCCTCATCATCCTGATTCTCCCTGTGGAGGGGAACATCTGTCACACCTGCAGTGTCACAATCTGCTGTGGAGAGAAGCGAGAGCTTGTTCTGCTCATGACAGCGTCGGCCATGAATGCAGAGGCATTCAGATATCTGAACTGGCTTTATCTGTGTGGGGCCACTGAACAGTAAGTGCAGAAAAACATATTTCACTGTCACTATGTTCATATAGTTTTGAGTAATCAGTCAGTATTGTTGCATTCACTTTTTTTTTTGCCTTTTATTTAATAGTATGAGGCCTTTGACTTGGTAACAAAGGCTGAAATGACTCACAGACTATAATTTCATGATGTTTGAAACTGCTGCATTGGTAAAATATGATATTCAAGCTTTTCAGTTTCTTCTTGCTGAGTTAAATGCGTTTCAACTCTTCATATTGTTAATAACAAGCTCTTTCTCATCAGCTCAGAAGTAAACCACTCACAGGAAGTGAATCTCTCTTCTAGTTTCACATGACCCTCTGTTTTCTGCAAATGTCATACTTCTCTGTGCATGTGGACTAATCACAAACTCAGGATCCCTTTTAACGTTTATAATGAGGGGTTGGACTTATTCGGTTTTGTCAAAGCAAAACCGATCCTGGAATCCTTAGTTTGTTGAACTCACTTTGTGGTGCAGGACACCTATCAGTGTTTATTTTGGGACATTATCCCTCACACATCTTTCCAGTTCCCTAGAATTGATTAGATGATGAATGTTGAGCTGCAGTTACAAGGCAGAAACACTTCCGTAACACTGTGTGTTTGCCTCCAGCAGGCTCGTGCGCAAGGCCGTGTCAGTCGTGCGCCTGATTAAATTCTAATTTGCACTCATGAATGAAAGGGGACGTGAAATGGCAGGGCGTTGTTCTTACTGCTGCTGGGTATGAGGTCCCGGTGTGGAATGAAGAGTTTATATCCGTAGTGTTTCTCCAGAACGTCGGGTAAGATCTCCAGAGCAAACAGCTCCTCCTCACTCATCTCTCGCTCCACTGACTCCAAGTCCACTTTGGTGTAAGAGAGGTAGGCGTCATATTCCTTGTTGTCTGAAAAGAACAGATAAGTTGTACACTGAAAAAAACACAACAACGTAATTTTATACTAACGCACAATTTGTAACGCACAGACCGAGGCGCCCGCGCCCTCAGATCACTTGGATGTGGCTGTGTTTACAAGAGGTAAAAACGATATAAATACTGTTCGTTTTCTCACACAAACCGCTCGTTTCGTGTCTTAGGCCATCAATGTGTACTTACATTTACGAGTCATTAAATCATGTTTAATTTGGACTTCTGTGTGCATGCTCTTTGAGGTGGTGACCATAGACCTGCATTATATGACTGACAGACAAGAACGGTTTGACCTAAAAATATCAAAATTGAAACTACTGCAGAAACAAAGACACCTACATCTTGGATGCCCTTGAGGTAAGCTAAAACATACCAAAAAGTAATTTCAAAGTGAACTATCCCTTTAATGAATCGCAAAAAAATTAAAATCAAGCTTTCTTGTGAGATTAGTTTGGATTTTAAACATTTTGAATGTGTTTTGATGAAAGAATTGCATTTTGCATTACTAGACAGCACCTGGCTGTTTATTAAAACAACACTCGTTTCAAGTATTGCAGTGACTAATATGTTTATGCCTCCTTCAGGATTACATGATTTTATTCAGTTAGTTAATTCATTTTCACATAGTAATGTTAGGAAAAAAAACATGCATGTGTATTTTCCTGTGCTTGTTATTTTACTTTAAATTTACCAGCTAATACTTGTCAAAAAAAATCTGCAAGATTACATGTTTTATACATATATTATTGTCCTGTGTTCTAAATGGTCAAAAATATGTGGACACTAAACATCATATTCTGTAGGCCTACCCAATCATAATCAGCAAACACATAATCATGTACAATGTCTGGTTCCATTTTTAAAACATGAATCGCTCCTTCATTTGCTCCCACTGTTCGGTGAATGATGAGATGTTGGGAGATGCCTCTGAATGTTTCAGTATAGGTCAAGAAGCACTTCTGTGGCCCTGGACCTGTTGGTTTGTCTGTTTGGTAACGGTGTCATTGGATGCATTTAATTCTGTAAAATGACTGAATTGTTTTACTCGTGATGCAAGGTACTTTGTGGTTTAGTTACTGTGAGTAAGGGTAAGCTGCTCTCCATGAAGAATTGTTCTGCTTTTACTTCCAGTAAATTGTATAGCTAACTGTTTGTAACATGTATTTTTAGGCATGTTTGTAGGGAGAAAGAGCCATTATTTAGAGCCATCTCAGATGATACAAGTGTCCAGGACAATTAATCAATGCAGAAAAAAAATATGATTATTATTATTGGTAGTAATGTTATTATTACTATTATTACGTACCATCATCTGCCTCATCGCTGCCGAAGTGTCGCCGGTAGCACAGCATGATCTCCACATTATAGCACTTATAGATGGCAGTGAAGATCCCCAATAACAGCATGATGGCGCCTAGACCACCAACCAACTCCAGCCTGTACATGTCTACATGAGAACAGAAACACACTTTCATCAAGTCTTCACGGTCCACGGTAATGTGCAGCAAGAGAATGGGTAAAATCAATATAATCAATCTTCTTTATGTCTATACATTTAACAAATCCTTTCCCTACGGATCATTGGTCATTATATGCAAACAAAACGTGATTCCACCACCAAATCACCAGTTTTTTAGCAGCTGCTCTTAGGGGAAAACAGTCATTCTCCACCTCCACCTTTCAATCCAAATCCATAGATTCCTAAAGGATGGATTTTATATATGTATCTGGGATTTATTACTTTAGGCTGACTGAGTGACCTTAATTCACAGGTGAGTTTCATAAGCCAAAACGCAGCAATACGTGGAATGCACTGCAGAAAAAAACAAAAACAAAACAAAAGGATGATAAGTCTTTTCTTTCAGGCCCACAGCACAAGTGGAGTTTATGTCAGCGCCCGCTATTGATGTGGAAAAGCAAAGCAGTCACATCTTAATCAGTGAGAGTCAAAAAGTTAGACGACAGCCATTCTCTTACACAGAGAGCACGTACAATTAATGGTACAAGTGATATTTTTAGGATGAGGGAAGAGAGCAAACGATAATGCACTGAGAAACAGGCATATACCCTGAACTCTGGGTTGATTGAAGCCAATGTTACTCGAGGTAAGCCGGTTCAAAACCATGTTCTGGTGACACACAAAGGCATTCTCAACCGAACGCCGAATCCAGGAGTCACCGTGGAAACGGATGCTAAGAAGAAGCACGCCATACTTCTTTTGTTAAATGATGATTTACATTCTTAGTGCATATCGCCACCTATGGGGCAGTTGTGCAATCATTTTTTCTTCAATCGCATCTTTTAAGTTTTAATCAGTTTTTTTTATTACTGTGAACAAGATAAGATCTGTTGTTGTTGTTTTATGCTAATTATACATTAAAAAAAAGAAAGAACTAACCAAAACTGTTGAGTGCTACCTTTTGAGTGCAGTAAAATAAGCATTGCTGCCTGCTCCGGAGCAGGTTGTGTTCAGAAAATCATTTTCTATGGCCACTTGCATACCCTGAAATTTAGGTTATCTGCTTACTCAGAGTAAACTCACCCAGGTAAGTCGCATAACCTTCTTTGTGGAATAGCCCCAGATCTGAAAACATGCAGAACATCGCTCCCAGTGATTTACCTTTCTTCTGCAGGATAGCACTTCCACTGCCACGGCCGATGTGGTTCTCCACATTACAGGTGTAGTTGCCCATGTCCATCTCATCCACAGCATCAAAGATCAGAGACAGCTCCACCTCCTTCTCCCCCAGAAACTCTCGCACCACCCTGCACAAACACACAGGCTATTTATACATATATAACCTGAAATATAAATTCATGTTTATTGAATATGTGTTAGCAATGTGTAAACACTATCTGAATGCAACTAGGAGAAATATCATGGCTTTAATGAATATACTGAACAAACAAGGCCTTCAAAACCTCCTCCCTGTTGATCAGTTTCATATTTCAGTCTGAATATGTTCAGACTTTTATTTCTTTAACACACTGCCTCACAATATTTGAAGGTTCTCTAAGACGAACTGCTTTCTTTAGATCTCGCTCTCATATTCGGATTCTCTCTTATCTGAACATGCGTGGTACGAAACCTAGACGAAACAACATTGGGACCCCAGTGACTTTCATTTTTCAAAATAGCTTTTCTGTTCCAGGAAAGAAAGAAATGCAGATTTTGGAACAGATTTGAGGTGAACTATCGCTTTCAAATTTATAGAAATAATTAGAAATTATTGCAACCTTTTGCAACATTTCCACCATGCTTTATGTTGATACAAATGAGAGATGTCAAACAAACCAAACAAAGAAAAAAAACCCACAGATATACTGATATACACAGCCACAGATATACTGACATTTTATAATCATTTATATACTGATATTGTATACTGAAGTATCTATATACTTCAAGGAAACTACTGAAACGGTATCCATTCCATCTTTTAAATGCCATCCTTTCAATCCTTAGGCTTACTAAAGATAAAATAAGTTCAAGAATCTAATAAATTATTCTCCAAAGCTCTTTGTCAGTTGTGACATTATGCAGCCTCAAGACCTGGTTGTTTTCGGATGAGAATTCTTTATTCTTCATTTGTGAAACATGAAGAAAGCTCCACTATAAATAAGGCTCCAGCATCTCTTTCTGTAATTGAGGAGCATTAGTCTCCTGAAATGAGAGAGTACTTCATAAAGATCAAACAGACATCAGCTGATAATGGCTCAAACTGATGAAGCCCTCAAAGGAATTATGCAGATCACTGAAACAAGGTTGCTTATTATAACAGATGTTCTTCCATGTTTCCTGGTTTTGAATGATCATTCAGAAATGGACACATTGTGATTGATTGAACTGTCCCTTTAATCTGTGCCACCTATAGCAAATATTTTACATTAGGTTTTACTATCCTTCTGCGGACATTCGGTGGAACACAATTACTGAATGGGGGCATAACATAAACTTTGATTGTTTTATATACTGTACCAGAAAATCTATTAAATGTTAAGGTTTTTTTTATGTTTTTGAAAGTCTCTTCTGCTCAACAAGGCTGCATTTACTTGATTACAAATACTGTAAAAAAAAAACTCAGTAATATAGTGAAATACTGTAACAATAAAAAAACTGCTTTCTATGATGAATAGAAATAAACCCCAGCATTTACTTTAAATAGATTTTAATTTTTTTTTATAATCTGTTATGCCACATTTAGTGCGCCAAAACACTGTAAGTTTTAATACAAAATTCAAACAATATATAAAGTTTGAAAGCTGAGACTTTGTTTCATATCAAAAGTAGGGTTGCCAATTTGGCATGAGATGTACTTGGGCAGAGTGAGAGCGCGAGACAGAGCCCGAAAGCGTGTGTGTGTGTTTGTGTGTGTCCATGTTCAGCTGAGGAAAATGTGAGTGAGTAAACATCAGAGACACAGTTCTGCTGCTTGAGATCTGCATGTCTTCAGAGTTTACACTTCATGATCTGAACACATCATATTGAAATAATTGTAGATTTCAGACACTTGCAAAACACTGAACACCCTAATGCTAACAATGGGTAACTGGAAATCACTCGCATATATTAGCAGCAATAATATAAAATGACAACATAACTCAACTCTACTTATCAGAAAGTCATAGCAAAGACTTTACTTCCTCGGACAACTATGGAAATTCAGAGTCGGACAGAAAGTTCTAGATGGTTGTGGAGTGAACATCATCCCTCATCGAGTGCTATGGCAGCTCTGACACCATAACAAGGGAAAAACCACATTGATCAGTAGAACAGCTCTTCCCTCAGTGTGATCCCTGTACATCCCACATACATCAGGGAAATACACTGGATGGATGGCCAGTCCATTACAAAACTTACAAAAACGTACAATGTGAAGTTTGGTGGCGAGGGTTCAACTAACAGTTTGATCACTGATGATGCACTTGAACAGTTTGTGTTTTTGGACAAAGCGTGGTATTCTTATGCAAAGAAAATATATTTGCTTATATTTGAACAATCAATATATTAAATTATTTAATGAATTTTGAAATGATAAAGAATAATATATTGTTAATATATTACAATATGTTGAGTAATACATAAGGAATTGACACTTTTTATATATTGAACAATGTGACAATATATTTTCTTATATCTTCAGGCATACTTGGCCAGAAAAGCAGATTCAATTCAATTGCAAAATTTGTGTTATGTTTTCACCATTACTGTTCTCTTGGGTGAATCCATCCCACCCCCCTATTCTACTCTATCCAGAGTACATCTTTTTGCACCCTTGTCCACTAGAGGTCTCTGTGCCCTCAGTAATCCTCATGGATGCCGTCACACCTGTTTTCCTGGAGGTTGTTAGTGTTCTGTTATATAATCCTAGTCTGCTCTTCAGTTTCAGCTCTGGGAAATCATGCATGCTTTATCTATTTATAGTTTATTGTTCTTAATTCAAGTAGTAACAGGTAATAAGCCCCAAAAAACAGTACCTGAATTCACTCTCTCTTATGTGTCCTTCCAACTCCTCTACAAACTTATCCCCCTTCATCCAGTAGATGATGGGCTTAGAATCACCGCTGTAGCCGAAAAAAGCCTTGCAGTCCAAGATGAGACGCATGCCTGCCAAAAAAGAAGATATAAACCACAAGATATTAATCAGCATTTAATAGAAACAATCTGTTCCAGCATGATAAAAAAACAACAACAAAAAAACATCCCAAAAATAATATTTCATTTCTTCACTCATGCTAGGAGATTCAAAAGCAGATCCTACAATGACCTGGATAAACAAAACCCATGTATAACAAGTGAACACTTTAAACTGCTGTTTCAAGGGAAGGATATCGAAGAGAAACGCAGCAAATGAATAAAGAGAAAGAACTAACCCTTTGAAAGAACTAATGCATTGCTGCAGTCAAATCAGACCAAGACCCTTTAAAAGCAACCAAAGGTCAAAGTAAGGAACTCTCACAGACATATATTCATATTCTCACCCACATAGAAAAGGAACTTGTTTACTTTCACTGGGTGAAAGTAAACATCCCCACAGCATCTTGTGCATCTGTCTGCGAGACGCCTGCCAACACTGCCATCAGACAAACATTGTACATCACTTTCAATTGGAATTTGGTATATGTAAAAAAAAAAAAAAAAAAAAAAAAAGGTACAAAAAAAGTTCATCCTTCAACATTCATTTATCTGAATTTATACACTTTTAAATAAACATTTTAATGTGAATGTCAAGTGGTGTAACAACCTTTAAGTAAAAAAAATTGCCTTAAACCTTACACATCCTAATCATGTTCTCAGACACCTAAAGAGCAATGACCTATTTCCCACAAAAAGCCGTTTGGCACCGTTTCATTACGCTGACCTCCTCTTTCTACACCTCCGGTCTCCGTGCGTCTGCCCACTGATAGAGCGAACGCTTCCACCCACGTCCACTTCTGTGTTGTGCTGGCATTGCTCTTAGATTTAGTGCTCTCACGATAATTGAGGAAGATGTAGCGCACAATCCCGCACCAAACGTGGGTAAAAAGACAACCTATTTTCTGGATGAAATGCTTTTTTAAAGTGGTCTTTAAAAGCATAGATCTGGATGCAAAAACTTTATTTATTTTTTTAGGTTTTATGCTCTGAATCCCTCAAATGTTAAAACTTAACATACAGTTTCATTAGATCAACAGTATGGAAATGCTTGTCTTTTAATTACCCGAATGCTGACTGAATAGAGAACTATTGTTTTCATGTTGCAGTTCTGCTAAGACAAGCGTATTCAGAGTAAACTCACTGCCATTAGCTACCTGCTGAATAATACTGCTTTATTTACTGCACTGATCCACTATTCTCACATAGCCTATGCTGATTATATGCAAATAATGTCTAAAAACCCTCTAGGGCTTTCAACAGCATTAACAGCACAGGCAGTGAAGAGCTTCCTCTGCCTGTAATTACAGCTTTTAAGAGACAGAAAATGGTAGGAGATGCAAATGAATGAGGCTGTGGCCAGCCACAATGTTTTAATGGTGAATACTTATCCAGTTTGCTCCTGTAATCATATCCAGTGTGTCTGAGGATCATTGTGTGTATGTTACTAGGATGAGCAACATCAAATTCACTGTTGAAGAATTTGCAGATGGTTTCTCATACATAATAAAATACTTCTTCCTCGACGATCAGGGTCAACCTTGCATACAATCTAAACATGAGCTGATGTACATGCTGTATAGTGCATTTCTTTCAGTTTTCACATTCATTTTAGTCTGAATATGTAAGAATCACGAACATCATCTGGTGTTCAGAATAATCAAAATACTATTTTAAGAATTGGACTGAAGTAAAAGCTTGTTTAAGATGATTCAACCTAAAAGAAAACAACTAAACATGGAATAGCTCAAAATGGCTCCTTCAGACTAAATTCTGAGCATGTGTTTATAACTTTATTTATGGTTTATTGGGTTGCACTTTATGTTACAGTATGTGCACGTACAGTGTCCTTACATAAGAAAGTACTGGGTATATAAAGTAACATGGGTTAAGGTTAGGTTTAGGGGTAGGTTCAGGGTTAGTACCGAATTATTACCCAGTTATTGTAATTAATATATTAGTATGTGGAACAGGACTGTAAAATAAAGTGCTACCGTTTATTGTTATGTTAAGAGTGAAATATAACTCTGCCTGTTTGTTAGTGTAACTTAGTGGCCCTTTTCATAAAAATTGGGCTAAGTTATGACTTGCACACACCTTAAATTCAACCAGGGTCTAAAACTAACTTTTTGCCACCTGCCAATGGCTGGTGACTTAAGAAAATGTTCCGGCTATAAATAATTTTTACCAGCCATGATACATACATTAATCTTTATTAAAGTTACAAAAGTTATTCAGTCAAGAGAAATGAGTAATTATGTTTTGTTTTTAATGTTAATCAAAAAACAAAAGACACCGACGGCAGCAGGAATATTAGGCTGTCACTTTAAGAGCTAATGCACGGATCCAATATACTGTTAAACGTGTGTTGTCTTTCTCAGCTGTTTACGTTCAAGACAAAACTGACTATGTTTACAAGAATACTCACCAAGACGGGCATTTTGAGATCATTTTCTTTGAATATGTCTGTTCAAGCACAAGAAGATGTGAAAGAGAGCTCAATTCAGCATGCGTGCACTGTCTGAGACGTGTTTCTGGACGCCCCCCTGAACGGGTTTCTTTGTGTGTCTTCTTGCGCTTGAATATTTAAAATGGCAAGGCTTAAGCTTTCGTGATGATGCAGAACTGCCCCGTCAACTGTCCCGAGCGTCGTTCACGTTTATGTTCTCACAACATTTAATTGCTAGAATTCACCCAATGCAATACAGCGCCAGGTAGGCCATGAGACGGGACCCCAAATTTGGGCAACCGATACCATTTTGAGGGATTAAATTTCTTTTTGATTTTCATGAAGGTACACATCTCTAGTGTTGGAAAATGTGTGATAGCATCCGATCCATGGTAGCTTTCATTAGAAATCAACACTTATATCATCCTACCTCAAGGTAAGGTGCCCAGTGACTACAAGAGAAAAATGTATCCTTTTATAATTTAAACAATTTATTTAAAAAATTTATAATTTTTTTATTATAAAAATGTATAAAAAATTTATAAAATTTTACATTTATTTAAAGATAAATTCATTTATCCTTTTTCTTGACATATGTTTGAAAATCGTCCTCCGTAACCAAAAACTACCTTGAATCTAATGCTATCACACATTTTTCAAATACAGGGTCATATACCTACACAAAAATCACCATGAGGTTTAATCCCTCAAAATGGTACCAATCAACCCTCTGTCTCACGGCCTAAGGTGCGCCCTAGTGTTTTTTTGCTAGTTTCAGCTCGACGCAGTTTTCATTTTAACGTCCTGCGCCACGTTGTTTAAATAACAAATGCATTTGCGCCCATTTGTGCTGCTGGTCTGAAAACCAGATGTGTTCGGGCGCATTGTTGGCGCGTTGCTATTTTGAGGCAACTGAAACAGACTGAGCCATTGACCAACTGAAACCTGGTCTAAAGTCAATGGCGCAGTATTTTTTTGTTATTTAAAGAGCGCATTAGTAATTTGTGCCTATAGACGGGTCCACAACACACAAACACTTTGTCCAGTAGATGGTCTGCTGCTTTAACCTCGCGCACGAGCAGATCCGTTTCCTCTCTTGAGAAGCGTTCAGTTTTTCCGCTTGCAAATTCCTCCATGTAAATAGCGAATCTGCCATGGTGCGAGCTCAACTGGCTTTTAAAGGGAATGGGAGGTGAGACTCTAATTAGTTTATTTCACATTACGCCTAAAACACACTCATTACTCATTAAGAGAATAGGGACAACCCTTTTAGACCATGCGCCGAGCACGCCGAACATTTTTCCCATCGTTCAACCAGCAAAAGTGGATTCGGACACAACCTAAGTGCACTTGCGCTGTGCGCTTTAGACCATGCGCTTAGATCTTTAAAATAGGGCCCAGTGACACAAAAGAGGCTCAAACACCTCCGCAATTCTCTGAAAAGCGCCAAAGACACTCCAGCACTGTGGCATTGAGCATGGACAAACGGCGAACTCACAAAGTCCACAGAAAAGTTCGTGTTTGTAAATTAGTTTGGTGCAGACATTGCACAATTCACCTTCAAACAAGCAAAAGTTTCAGTGTGCTCCAGGTTCCAGGGAGTCAGTGCTGTCCACCTGCGCTGTGAACACAGGTGATGTTGAGCTCTGTCACGCACTGAACAGACTGACTGTGGGCTGACCCCTGACCCCTGAGGTGAGCATCACTGTCACATCTGTGAATCTGAGCAGGTGGCAGCAGTGTGAGAGAGTGTCACTGACCGAAGCCAAACCACTTCTTTAAAGAACAAGGCTGTGTGTGCAGGATACTTTCAGTGTGTGACGCCTAATGTGCTGACAGTGATAAACATGTGTCACATGACCTAATGGAATGCGACGAGTTAATTTAGCAATTTTCTTTTTTGTCCAGTTATGTGTTTAAATGTCTTGACATTTGGCAGTCTGATCAAACAATGAGTCGGGCATGCCATTGTGTGTTATTCTAGCAAATGTAGTCATTGATCCAGGAACTGTGTACATATGGGTCAAAAGTTTGGAATAATTTTTCTTATGTTTTTAAAAGAAGACTCTTATGCTCACATAAGCTGCATTTATTTGACCAAAAATACAGCAAAAAAAAAGTTACATTATGAAATATTATTACAATTTACATGAACTGTTTTCTATTTTAATGTATTCTAAAATGTCATTTAGTCCTGTGATGCAAAGCTGAATTACTCCAGTCTTCAGTGTCACACGATCCATTAGAAATCCTTCTAATATGCTGATTTACATTTTTTTTATTGTTTACACACAATTTCTGAAACTATGCTCCTTTTCTCAAAACTCCACACACAAAAAAATGCACACAACATCACACATCTCTTGCAAAAGCAAACAGTTCATTCAAAACTATTTTAACTCTTCTAAAAATGCTGTTTTTGCATGTAACTAACTACGCAAATTAGCATATACATGTCAAAATACACACGGCATGACATGTAAAACACTACTATCTTGAGTCTTGTCATAGCACTCACACATCT